ATAATGCTGGTATCCAGGATACTTTACTGGTCTACTTATAGGACTCAAAAATGAACTTGAGGGAGAGTCTAAAAAACTCTCTGCTTTGCCACTATGTACCACATTTACTCTAACTAATCTGTGATTCATCACAATAAACTGGGTTTCTTGTTCACACTTCACAGTAGCCTAGCCCTAATCTCTGTTGTGGGGCATTTTTCTCCCTTCCCACAGATTGTTGCTCCTCTAAAAGATCCCCTCTAGCCCTCTAGCTCTAGGCTCTGGCCTCTTCTGGCCTACCAAGTACCAAGCCAGCAAGCCCCCTGCATTGGGCTGCATCCAGGAATGTGAAATTGTAAATAATAGTATATACAAATACAAGTTAACAAATATTAATAATTTGTTATTCCATAATCCATAGCTTCCAAGTTCCAGGGCGCTTCATGGAGTGTCATTTTATACCGTAGCAGTAGCACTAGTAGGTAGTAGCCTACTAGCCTAGTAGGACTAGGTTCAGTTTTCCAAAAAAAGTTGTCAAGAAATCAAATGCTGTAGCCTGTAATTGTGTTGTAGTTGGATTTTCTATTGTTGGGTCAGCTCAGGGATCAATCAAGTCCGCGGCACTTACGGTGCCTTCTTTCATATTATTCACTTTCTTACAAGGTTAGATAAACTAGAAGTTTTTCAAGCGAGTCAATTGCACAATCTAATTTGAATGACAATCTGGAATCACAGGTTTCAAAGCAGGAGCTAGGTTAACGACTGACCAATAACTATTACAGTTCATACGAGACTCGTAAAATCACATGAAGGGCAATGGACTTCAATTTGCGGAATGCAGGCATTCACTTGGCTTGACATTGCAGTTTCATAGACGAATTGAAAATGTTGATATCTGCATTTAAATTATCTCGATCATGTTTCTTCATGTTTTTGAAATTAAAATAGTCGACACAGTTGTGAGTCTATTATTAAGTTTATTTTGTCTTTGTTAATAGAGATGAAGCAATAATCAGGATTGATGTTTATTTATATCTACAATAAATTATTTATTTTGATTGCGTATTATTTATTATAGACAATTTCAGACAATTCCCCTTGCTTAAACCTCTCAATTACAATTAATGACAGATGAGTGTTATTATTGAATCTCTAAAAGAATTTGCTTGCATGGCTTGGTCCATGGGCGTTCAGATTCGATACACACGTGTAATTTTTCCCAAGTTTCGAAAATAAATCCATGAATGAAACTTTTCATACATGTTAACCAAGCAACTGGTCTCTGTAAAGTACTTCTAATTAAAAAAATAAACGCATGACTGTTTCGAGTATTGAGGTAAAACCGCCGTCAGCCGAGTGTCACAATGTCACTACATTTTCAAGATGTTCAAACAGTTCAGTATTAAGCCAGATGCGGTGAAGTGTGTATATACGAGTTACTAGCTCCCGTTCAGTTCGCTGAATATCTCAGATGAAATTAATAATTGCGCTGTCAAGATGGACGAACCGAAAAAAATTCAGCTCACTTCGTTGAGCTCAGTGAAGACAGATAAAAAGAAAATGAAGTATAAGAAAGCCATCCGCATTAAAATTGATCTTCCTGAATCGAATGAGAAGTCTTGCCCTGAGTACAACTATGGAGAACTTCTCGCAAAATTTATGGTCAGTAATAGTAACGAGATCAGTATTCTGCGTGGAATAGTATATGCATTTATAAAAACTCTTAAAGTGTTTATTGTTGCAGGTCTATATTGTCTCTCCCAGTATTAGGAATAAACTGATGTTTCTACTTAACCGGTTTACTTTCAATCTATGTTGAATTGTGATGTCAAGCAGCGTTTCTACAATGCAATGGTGGTGTTGATTACCATTCGTTCGTGAGAAAATTCAATAGCTAAGTTGATGACAAAATATTGTTCTCTATTGCAAAGTTGATAAGCTGGAGCTACGTGAGCGCCAACATAGCGTGACGTCTCGCTGAACGCATGTTGGTTTCACGATATTCTACAGGAACATGTAGAAATTTTGCGTACCTTCAAGTCACTGAGTCTCTTCAGTGTCCGCCATAACAGCAGCTTCTACGATATTCTTTACATCTATTTTCCACTGCTGTCTTCTGTGACAACTCATATAATTCGTTGAAAAACTCCTCTTTCTCGGTCGAAAAAACTTCCACTTTCCTATGTAGACATCGCTTTATACTAAAAGACATACAATATTAAATATATAAATTGTAAAATATGTATAAATGACTGAGTGGGGGATAGGGGAGGTAGAGGAAGAGGGGGTACTTAGGAAACATGGTAGGACGACCGTACAAACCGTGAACGATATGACCTAAATTATCTGAGGCCTAGATAGCTGGTAGGTAGTCGTTTGGTAATTTGCCGCCTAAATTTGTATTCAAGGAAATACAATTTTTGTAATTATCGGCCGTTATTAATTTATTTAATTGTATATATTTTTCATGTAATTTCTTGTGCCTGGACCGGCATTTTTTTTTTGCTCCTTGCCTACAGTGTTTAATTTTGTATATCATTTAAGCTTGGCGGCGTTCCACTTCGCTGGTAAATTTTTATTTTTTTTTCGTTGCTGTAGACGATGTTGAATAAAAATGCGGTTGTGAGTATCTGATTACTTCTGTGGCTTCTTGCACTAGCCCCAACATGGTTGTCTCATCCATGTGTTTGACACAAGCAACTCGTGAGATTAGTTTTAGGCAACTAATTTATCTTCGGGGATAGCCGAGTAATTTTTAGAGTGAAATGCGCATTTGTCATTTTTTATGTTTTAACTGTTATAAGGAAAAAAAATTAATCGGTTGATGTTGAATAATTTCTATATAATAGAAATCTATCTGGCTTCTTTTTTTACTTCATTTTTTTGACTGACAAAAAAAAATATTTTGCCTCACGTGGCATGAGCCGATGTTGACAACTATGAGGTTTGTTGGGAGGCGTGTTAGTGGAGCTGCTACTTCGACGCCTGCTAGTGGACAACTGAGAGGGCGTCTGCCAAACTCGCGTGGGCGGTGCTAAGAACGCCTCGTTCAGTCCTGTCAATGGTGGAGATCGGTGGGCGTGTGTTACTGTCGAGTTCAAGCTTAATGATAAGTTAAGACTGTAGGCGTGTTTGTGAACATGTATGGCATTGACATACTACGTTTGTCGGACGCAGCTGCCAGCTGGTCGATAGCCCAGGGTCGTTGCTGGCCGCGTGCTGGAGAAACGTTTGCAACATTTGCCCGCGCTGCCTTGCCTCTATTTCCCAATCATTGGCAATTTTAATGATGTAACTTCAACGTGCGATTACTTTCTAAAGCTGAAAGACGGTACTTCTTCTTATTAATTGATTTCTCTTACGATCCGAATTGATTTCTATTACGATCCGAATTGATTTCTATTACGATTTTCGCAAATAAATGTGAATATAAATGAATCTTTTTAATCAACTGAGGTGTTGTAAATTGATCAGCATATCACCCTTCATGTTACAGACAAAACTGAATAAATCCGACGTGGATCATATTAAACAATAAATCCGACGTGGAACAGATTAAATGAAATAAATCAGACGTGGATCATATTTACCCAAATGTAAATCAGATGCGAAATATATTAAACCTGATAAATCCGACAAAGAATATCAATTTACGATTTCCGTGTATGCAAAATACACTTTCAGTTAGTTGAACAATATTGAAAAATGTACAGCCACGAAATCCGTCTAACTTGCTGAGGCGCAAAACTTTAATTATCGAACATATTGCTGATTGGAATTTAAATATAATGCCTAGGTCTTTATGCTTGCTTGCATATGTGAGGTTTTTCCTCCTTCTTAGCTCCGTTAAGGGGACCGGCTACCCTCCGGAAAAACTTCTACAGTTATTATCCGATCATCATGAAACTTCGCATACATATGCAAAATGTAAATATAAGAACATTTTGCTCGTATGAATTTTTCGAAAAAATATATAGAAAACGTGAAATTCATAGAAAACGGCTAAAAAGGGAGAAAGAGCAGAATTTCAGCTTTAAGATGAGCTCAAAAACCGGAAAAGCCAAAATTGAAAATTTTAGGATAGCCGGTCCCCTTAATTCGTGTGATTTTTTATTGCGGTTTCGCAGTTTGTATAATTCTGTTAATTCATTTCCTTATTTGACCCGCACACATTCGGAGTTATTATTTATCAGTATTTTTGGGCTGGTCTAGGCGTGTGCAGAACTATTGATATGATGCGATCCGCATGCAGTTTTTTTTCTGTAAAAGTTATGTTGCCAAGTAGTAACTGCGCAGCGTGCCGGCACAAAGCCTGTATTTCCCTGCTGTTAACAGCCGCTGCTTCATCCCCCAGCAACAGCAGCGTGCCGGCACAAAGCCTGTATTTCCCTGCTGTTAACAGCCGCTGCTTCATCCCCCAGCAACAGCAGCGTGCCGGCACCATGCTTGTATTTCCCTGCTGTAAACAGCCACTGTTTTATCCCCCAGCAACAGCAGCGCGCAGCTGACGACAGAAACAGAGGTGACAGCTCGGCGAGATTCAACCCAAGCGACGATGAGTCTGACGAAGCCCTGCAGGCCCTCGCAAGGAGCCTCGAGAGAAAATACGTGAGTTGACGTGCCACGTCTTTATGTGTACTGGGGGAATATCTGGGCCTCGCTCTTGTTTATATAAGTAAGAGAATTGCGTAATTTGGTCATGTTCTTGTGCTGCAAATATTAGTCGTCTGAGCACTTAGCTCGCGGTCCCCCATTGAACCCAGTGAAAGCACTGCACATGCACAATGCTGTTATAAAAACAAATTCCATGTGTTTTAGTAATAAAAATAAAAATCGCGATGATTTCTAAATCATTTACGAAATTCCTTACATTAAATTATCGTTTCTGCGATAAATTGTTTCTATTGGTGGATTGCTCGAGTGTCTGAGTGCTGTGACAGTTACCGTAAATATGCAATTTTTGATCGAATATGCGCAACATGTCCTCGTGCTGGTGGGAACCATCTAATTTCTGCTTCACTAATTAATGTGTAAGCACTAAATTGGCAGCTGTTAGGCGTGGTAGTAATGGTTTTTCTCTGCTCAGGGTAACGTGGCTACCAAGAAGAAGCGAAAGAAGACTAAGGAACGAGACTTCAAAACCTTAGGCGAAGGTTATGATGAGAACGATTCTTTTATTGACAACACAGCCGCGGTGAGTACTGCTATGGGTTTTTCTGGAAGTCTGCTGGCTGGTAGTCGTGCTTAGTCTTACTGGGCGTCTTATCAACTCTTATCTATAGTCTTACTCACAGATTATCAATTGTCTTGCTGAAAGTTTTTTTTTTTGCAGTTTTATCGATACGTATCGATAGTCGTACTGATAAGGGTTTTCACTGCAATTTCGATACGGTAGTCTTTTGATGGGATTTCTCACGGTCCTACCGATAATCTAACGGATGAGGTTTTTGATAGTCCTACCAATATTTAAACTGAAAATTACTGATTTTAATGCTGGCAGGCTTTCAGTATTCTCGGTGTTAATGAATCAACGCTAAATGTTGACACATGTTTGCATGTAATGATGGGAGCACCCCATCGTTAAATTAATGCTTATTATTGTATGTGCTAACGCCGTGCAGTGCACTTATTATCTACAATTATGCCGTGTAGTACGCGTATTATTTTTTATTGTTATGCTGTACCGCGCAGTACGCGTATTATTTTTTATTGTTATGCTGTACCGCGCAGTACGCGTATTATTTTTTATTGTTATGCTGTACCGCGCAGTACGCGTATTATTTTTTATTGTTATGCTATACCGCGCAGTACGACGAGGTGATGGACAGCAACAAGGAGGCCAAGCACGGCGGCTTCTACATCAACTCCGGCAAGCTGGGCTACCGCGAGCTGTCAGAGTCAGAGGACGACTCCATGCCGAACACACCGCAGCACAGTGCCAAGAGGAAGGTGAGACCTGGCCGTATAACGGGCGTTACGAGCGTTACTGACACCTGCGTCAAGAGGAAGGTGAGACCTGGCCGTATAACGGGCGTTACGAGCGTTACTGACACCTGCGTCAAGAGGAAGGTGAGACCTGGCCGTATAACGGGCGTTACGAGCGTTACTGACACCTGCGTCAAGAGGAAGGTGAGACCTGGCCGTATAACGGGCGTTACGAGCGTTACTGACACCTGCGTCAAGAGGAAGGTGAGACCTGGCCGTATAACGGGCGTTACGAGCGTTACTGACACCTGCGTCAAGAGGAAGGTGAGACCTGGCCGTATAACGGGCGTTACGAGCGTTACTGACACCTGCGTCAAGAGGAAGGTGAGACCTGGCCGTATAACGGGCGTTACGAGCGTTACTGGCCCGTGCGCCAAGAGGAAGGTCAGACTTGGCTGTATAACGGGCATTACGAACTTTTCTTCTCTCTAATTTATCTATAAACATTGCGTTTTGTTCTCAAGTTCCTAAGATCTATTATTTCAGTTCTTATTTGTGTTCCAACTTTGATTTTGAATACAAAAATTTAATTCTTCCGTTATAGATTTCCGCGAATCCGGTTTGCTTATCTTGGACCCGACCAGGCCGATTCTTTAGCGTCCTTATCTAATCTCTTAATAATTGCATGAGCCCTTATCAGAATAGTTCGTGCTGAAAATATGGCCGTCAAGGTATCCCTGAATTCAATTGTTTCTTTGGTTGTCTTCGATAACCTATTCATTAATAGTTATTATAAAAATGAACTTTTCAACTCTTTTTCTATGGATATTTATCGACATCGCGTACGTAGGTCTTGAAAATATCAATGATCTCGTCGTGCTCCGATAATAACGTGCATTGATACACAATTACTTTACTTTTCGCCACTAACCTGCCACATTCTGCAGAATTGCATCGACTCAGATGAAGAAGAAACTGCAGGAGAAGGGAAGAAGTTGAAAGAAGGAAGTGACGATGAAACCTACAGACATGGAAGTAACCAGGTACGTTCACAGCAATACTTGAAACGCCTGTAGCGCTTTCGGTACGTACTAGCAGCGCTTGCGGTATTGTGGTACAAGCGATGCCGTATCATACGGGCATACGACGACAAGCCTACATCATTATTCTTGTTAAGTTTTACGGACGTAGCAATCCCTGCACCCGCTAGTGTGCAATTGAATATAACTGATTTCAATACTGGCAGGCTTTCAATATTCTCAGTGTTAATGACACAACGCTTAATGTTGGCGCATATTTGCATCTAATGATGGGAGCACCACATCGTTAAATTAATGCTCATTATTGTACGTGTTGTTAGTCTGTAGTGTAGAGTGTGTAGTGTACCTTTGTATTCCGCCGCTGCTGCGCGGCATGCAAGTCGTCGCTAAGGTCCCGGGAGAAGCTGCAGCGTCCCTACCGTGCATCTGCCTTCAGTAAGACCAGCTGATGCACTGTGCTGTTGCTTACTTCTTGCTGATGTAGTGATGGTAGTGAACGGTGTACTATACCATGACGAGGTCACCATAACAGACTCACCACCACAGATTCACAACTACAACAGACTCACCACCACAGACTCACGACAAAACTCACCACCACAGACTCACCACGTAAAGTACATTGCAGGTGCACAACGGTGCGCTGGACGAGGGCGAGCTGCTACGCAAGCAGCGTAAGCTCATCTCCAAGATGAACGCCAAGAAACACATCAGCAAGGTCAGGTCCCAGGACCCTGCCTCTAGCACGCCCCCTGCTGCTGTGGTGCCTGCTGCTACTACGGCTTCTGTTGACCCGACTCCTGCTACAGCTCCTGTTGTGGCTGCTGCTTCTGTTGCTGTACCTGCTTCTGCTCCTGTTTCTAATGGTTGGTAATGTTTGTTGCTTTGGAACTTCGTTTACATCAAATTTTCTATTCGTCTTCGCATTTGAAAGTCTATTTTCTTAGTTTTCCATTGTATTATCCGTCAAAGAAAGAATTTCACCTTGTTCGATTGTGCGTTGCGCTGAAGTGAGAGCGTTCCGACGCTAAGAAATGGACGGACGGATTTCCGAACTTTGTTATGAATGATAATGCAGCGTGAGTTCAGGTTCTGATTTATGTAAGTTCTGAAACTTCTATCAAGGTTCTAAAGTACGTAAAGGTTCTTAAGTATCATAGGTTGGCGTAAGTTACCTACTTTATCAAACTCTTGGGCACCAAAGCCTACGCTAAGATAGTCGTTAGAACTTGAATAGAACCATAGATTGAATGTAAATGAATAGAAATTGAGTAACGATGGATAAGCAATGTCCGATTTCCTCCTGATGACATAACAAGATAGTATTTCTCTTGATGTTACAGTGGCATGATCTAATAATATGGAAGTGATTATCGGTCTTAACTTAAATAACTCTGTTCATTTGCTACTGGCGGATTGTACAAAAAATGTTCCGTATTGTACAACAGTAAGTTGTCTTGCTTTTATGATGTAACTTTCATGAAATGCTGGTGTTGATGTTTGCTGCAATCACAGAAGTTGAAGTCTCGCCCGCTGAAATGAGGTACCTGCGGTCCATTAATGAGATTTGAAGGTACCATAATGCAAGAATCTACATGAATAATTGGCTATCGCAAATTTGGAATCGGAATTGAACATAGAATTCTATTATGAAAATTTCCGATATCAATTGAATTAATTTACCAGATAGAATCTATTGAATAGGAAAGCGACAGTTTGAATCCAATAAATGAAGGTAAATTCGAACGTGCTTCCAGATATCTGGCGAAATTGCAGCAGGAACTCAAGCTCCCAAAGTGCGAACAATGCCCTCAACCTTAACATCGATCGTTGGCAGCAAGGCTCACATGATGATAACCTCTCAATAATAGCTTGCAACTCGCACTGAAATGACTGCAGTCTTACTGAAGTCACTGCAGTCTGTTTCTTTGCTTTCACTCGACATCCGCGGCTAAATTGACTGTCAATGGCATATTCATTTCGTTCCAAATTCTTCATTTATTCTTCATTTCATTTCATTCCAAATTCTTCATTCTTCATTTCATTTCATTCCAAATTCTTCATTTATTCTTCATTTCATTTCATTCAAAAATTTCAGAAAGCAAGAGTAGCGTCGCTGCCAGCATAGAGTCTGTGGTCAAGAAATTTGGTTCTTCTGATGAAAGAAGCCATCCTGCTTCTCTGCCGGCTGCCTCTTCTGTTATACCGCCTACCGCTGCTACTACTACACCACCTGCTTCTGCTACTGCTACATTGCCTGCTGCTGCTACAATGCCTGCTACTGCTACAATGCCTCCTGCTACATCTGAATCTGCAGCCTCCAAAGCTGACTCAAATGCCAGTGCTGATGACGATGACAGTAACTCGTCCTCTTCGTCTTCAAGTTCCTCGTCTGACGACTCGACCTCGTCGAGCAGTAAGTTGTCTTGCATTTGTGATGTAACCTTCGTGGAATGCTCGTGTTGATGTTTGCTGCAATCACAGAAGTTTAAGTCACTCTTTTGGCTGAAATTCATTGGATAATAATGATGTTTGATAAATAATGTTTTTATTCTACTCAGGTGATGACAGCAGCAGTAGCAGCAGCAGTGATGCCGAAGCCAGTAAAGCAGCTGATCAAGCGAAAGAAATCGACGTTGCTTCAGTAGCGTCCCAGGTATAATCACTAACATTGAACTATTCATCTTTTTGTGTAATTGTTTTTAAAAATTGGCGCACTTTGGTAACCAATGAAGTTTGGTTAAAATAGTGTTATGTTCTCAAGTCTGATAGTTCCGGATGTAAGCAAACTACTTAACAAATTAATTAAATAATTAATTATGTAGAATTTCGTTACGCCGTTTGCCCTTTGTTCATCAAATGTAATATTATTACTACTTGTTGCTCAAAAATGATAATTTTTTCTGTTCCAGAACATCGGATCTTCTGCAGTTACTTCCAGTATTACAAGTGCCTCCGCTATCGCTCTTACTTCTACACCTCCTTCTGCTGCTGCTACTACCGCTCTAACTACTACAGCTACTTCTGCTGCGCTAGCTCCTACACCCACTTCTTCCTGCGCTTCTACCCCTACAAGTGTTGGCGCTTCGGAGAAAATTGTGCCTCTCCCTGAAAATTTGTCACCCGATCTCATTCAGGTCCGTCACAGGCGTGCTGCTGTCCCATACAGTGTCTGGCTTCATCGCTATACAAAAGCTCATAGTATCATTAATACTTTGTACATCCGTCAGCGGAGTAACCGCTTTTGACGGCTTTTCAAGCTAAAGCCAGCAATCCTCGGCAAGAAATCTGCCGTTCGTGTATTTGAGCAAATTTTTCTAGTACGGCCCCTGAGTCAAATTAATCATCAGCATGCCACTCTTGCCACTGTTTCTTGAGGCTCCACGCACGTAACAAAAGCATTTCTGTGAATTAGTTTAAACATTTACATTGGTATCTTCAGGTGTCCGTTCAAACGAGCGTTCAATGCTTAGGATGTTAGGTATGAAGTAATGGACACAGAAGTTGAGTTCCCAAACTAGTTTTGATGCTAGAAATTGTATAGAGTATATTGGGGAAAGCTGATATGTGTGTATGTGTGATTTCATCTTAATTCCGCAAAATTGTGTTGTGGCTTGCGAGCGGTATGATGTAAATGATTGCTATTGTTATTATACTATATTATTTGTGAGAATTGTTCTGTTGAATATTTACGGTTTCAATTTGTTTTCACAAGCGGGTTGCATGACATGATCTATCTGGAGACGCTGAGAGATATTGCTTATAACCCTCTTTTTGTAACATCAGATTCGTGAGACCGAACACAAATGCTGGCAGCTCATGCGTGTCCATCGAGCTACGTAGTGCAGCGTTATTTTTCACATGAATTATTATTTTATTGATGTTATTGTTGTAAGCTGTAAAAATTATTCTGCAGGTCATTGAAGAACTGAAGCTCGAGGGACAGCGCGCTACTGCCTGCAGATCCAGTCAAAAGTTCTTCACTGAACCCGTCAAGACCTTGCTGCTGAGGTGAGAGCATCAGCACGTCACTGCTGCTGAGGTGAGAGCGTCAGCACGTCACTGCTGCTGAGGTGAGAGCGTCAGCACGTCACTGCTGCTGAGGTGAGAGCATCAGCACGTCACTGCTGCTGAGGTGAGAGCATCAGCACGTCACTGCTGCTGAGGTGAGAGCATCAGCACGTCACTACTGCTGAGGTGAGGGCCAGTACGGCAAATGCCTCAGGATAATTATTGAAAAATATTCTAGATAATTTGCTGCACATTATTATACACCGAGTTATGGACACAGCGTCTTACCTGGACTTTAAACTTTGAGTCGTGACGAATTTCCGCTTCCCATTCACTGAAAAAAATTTATGAGATGCCAAAAAATGTACTACGGCAGTTCTAGAGAAGATCAAAGCATGTTTAGCGATGATGTTCGATCATCAATACCAAAGAGTTCACTGTATTTTCAGCATCGAAACGAAGCTTCAAGAGAAAGGGTGTCGTAAGAAGACGCAAGTGTACCAGCATCTGTCGCAACACTTGCCCTGTGGCGCCCAGACTCTCGTCAAGCGGGCCAAGCAAATGCTGCATCATCTCAACGAGAACAAAGTGGCGCTGCCCTTAATGAGGTACTTGCTTCACATGTTGTTGTTGTTGTTGTTGTTGTTGTTGTTGACCCTCCCCGCCTCGCTTCATGGCGCGAGGCGGGGCCTAGACCCAGTTCTGGGGCCAGCCAAGTCGGTCGCCCCAGCGGGCCAGCAGCCCTGCAGCGTTTACAGGGTCCGACCAAAGGTCACCCATAGTAGCAACAGAGACGCCGACCACACGTGGGGAGCCGCAGGCCGGCAGCACCAAAAAACATGGGCTTCGGGTCCCCCTTTCGGGGGACGGGGAGAGATTTGCTGTCGATTTGGGCCCGTATCCGGGCCGCGCTCCAACCGCAAGCAGGCCGACAGCATTTGGAGCACATGCTTCACATGTTACTTGCTGCTGCTGCTGCTGCTGCTGCTCAATGTTTAATAACAATTCAACTTAAAAAATTAGTTATCGTGCTCAAAGGACGAGACGAGAGATTATGTTCACTACGGCAACTTATGTCACTAGGAATGAAATTACAAGAATCGAGGAGAAAATCTTATAAAAAAGCATGTGGTGGTCCCATGGATGAAACTTGGATGCATTGTGCTTACAGTACTTCAGAAGGATGACCGCATTTATTAGTTACATGAATAATTTGCTTGCCCTTTCAATTATACAAGGATAATCCGCTGTGTGAATAATGTACGAGCTTTGATTTGTCTAATAATTTTACATAATCGGAAGCGCGAATGTGTATGGGTGTTGTTTGAGTGTGATGGTATAAATTGGTATGATCTGATTTATGAATTCAAGGGTTATATATTACATATAATGCATCATGAGGTTTTTGTATCATGGCATAATCTGGTACAATTCGTTATAATGGAATTTTTTCATCAGGCTGAAGCAGGCGATCGAGCGGGAGATGCCGCCCCTGGTAGAGGCGTTCGCTGAGCAGTGCAGGATCGCAGCGCAGATTCAGTAAGTCATTGCCTCTCATAAACTATACCTTGTTTCCAACAGTTGATTAATGGTTTCAACTTAGCTATGATTATTCTTCCTGGATTCATTTTTGCATTTTTTCTTCTTCGAATTGAAAGAGCATCGGTTCAGGAAAATTTAAAGATCACCTGAAGTGTTCAGTGATCATCATTTGTTTCAGACATTGTATAGGTAACTTATCCAACGGACCTCAAAATTAAATAAGAATGTCAGAACTTTAAGTTCTATTAATCGAGTAGAATCTGCAAATTTTAGTTGCGTCAGCGAATGGGTGCTAGTTATTTTGATTAGCTGGGTTGTTAAAGTGACGCATCAGTATGCTGATCAGCCATGAAATGTTTGAGAAGACAAACGTTAATCGTTTGCCGTTTACTGGTCTTTTTTTTTAATCTGCTACCTACTTTCTCATACCCAGGGGATAGTAAATTATTTGGACTTCATTAATTAGGAGCCAAAATTTGAGATCTTCTGGGGTCTATTCCATTGAAAAAAGTTATTAATGTAATAGTACAATATATGGATGTACCTACAGCTCAAGAAAATATAATTTTTGTAAAAAAACAAATGAATGAGTGTGCCGTTTGGAAGCAGTACTGTCATCCTGGCTATTAATATTAAGAGAGTATACTTGCTTGTGCATATCCTCTTTTACGCAGTACGTAACTTACGACTTGCAAAATTGTTGTTCGTCGCGTAGTCAGATTGGTATCTTCATAACCACTGATATTTACGAAGCTTGCGCGCACTTGGTGGTGTGGCAGGTTACGAGGTGTCGCCCTATAATAATAATTACGCTGTCAATGCTTTCACATTGTACGTGTATACCAATACGAGGTGAAAACTCCTTATGACCTCTGGACCAATACAATATCTTCAAACATTAGTCACATGTGAAGGACGTAAATGATTGGAATACGAAATTAATGTATTTTGGCAATGTTTGGCAATTTGTTGTTGTTTGGCAATTTGTTGTTGAAAAGATTGTTGAATGAAAATTTCATGGTCCCCGTTTATCTCACACTCAATTCGAAAGACAACGTGTTCCATGAAGCGTCGGTTCCGGTGAAATAGCGGGTTTGAATTGAGTTCCAGCTTGGGTTCTGATTTGACAAGACAAACTTGTCCAGCCACACCTATGCTGCCAAGCATGCGCTTCATTAGTCGATATATCAAGACACTTTTTGCCGTCTTATGGAGAAAAAATTACTTGGAAAATTGGAGCTTGTAGAAAACATTTCCCTATGAACGTACGGTATCGTTCGTCGTCCGAGTTTTGTTGAAACATAGGAAGTAGTAACCGAGTTTGTGTCTCCGTTATTTTCCGTCGTTTTTGAACTAAAATGAGGTCTATGTAGGATGTAAACTTTGAAGAAATAGTTGTAATAAGCAGAAAGTCCTATGGTCGAAAATTTGCAGTGAATTAAAGGGTACCACTTGGGGCTTAAACGGTCACCAATATGAGAGAAATTTGACGTTCCCTGCGTGAATAAAGATGTCGTGCTCATTAAAGCGCATTCTGCAGTGAAGTGTTACTGCGACGCTACTTCAGACAAGTGGTCTGTGAAAAAAATTCTTTTCATTACTCTGAACTCATCGGAGACCATGCCTATTGAATACAGACGCAATCCTTCGTTATCTGCGTTTAAAGGAATTTAAAAGTTCGAGATTTGAAAATGACGGTGGCTGTTTTTTTATTGTGTTGTGCTCGTACGATGAGTAGCTTCTGATGTTTTGTGCCCAGCCCAGGCATCAAAGTTAATCATTTACTTTGTTCCCACAGCCCCGAGCTCTACTCGCATCTCTATCACCATTTCTGGTGAGCCAGAGCCCTCAGTGGCTGCGTGTGTTCCCATACTCCTGGGTCTGGTTTCATGCCTTGGCCTTACCTTGTTTTCAGCTACCGTCAATGTCACTAATGTCGCCACAGCACTTATGGCGCCGGCCTTCAATAGAAACTATATAATTCGCAAACAAAACTTAGCCTCAACTTTTCATTGCGATCAAAAAAGCTTTTTATTTGTTTTATGGTAATCGATCCCTACAAATGGTAATTTTGACCAGTATTATATGGTTCTTATTGACGAGCGGCGAGTTAAGTGCAGTAGCCGCTGAGTGACGACTTATGTTTCTTTGACGGTAAATAAACGAGAAACTTCTCATTCTGAACCAGCCCGGTGATGAGGTTTCCTGCACGCTGCAATTATTTCAAATGCTAACGTCGAGAAGTCTTAAGAACGAATTATTACTTTTATTATGCGTATAGAAGATCCATTCAAACAAAATATTACACAAATTCTTCTTCTGTTGGAGTAGTTTGAGAACTGCACAGTCCACACGCATAAATATTCGTGGTAATGAAAGCAATATCAATAACACTTTTTTTAGATAAAAGCTTTATCCTGAGTGTCCTACAAGTTAAACCTGTCAGAGTAGCAATTAATTAATTAGAAAAAAAATCTGTAATCACTTGCCGGCTAACGCAGTACAAAATGAGTGAACATATGCATTTACCGCATGGTTTTAATTTGCTCCTCATGTTATCTTTCCAAGACCATAGAGCTGATCTGTTACAATCAATTCGAGCTCCTCCCTTTGTTTTCGTGGTATTTTGCTAGATCTAAAATTGGTGTGTAAAAATCATGCCTGTATAGAACTGCTTAGCTAAATCATCTATAATTTTTGCATCATTTTTTGTATGTTGCATCATTCATCTTAGGGAAATGTACGTTGAAATTGTCATTTGCTGCGATGAACAATCTTCAGAATTTGTGAATTAATTTGTTTTCTCATCCGGTGCAAGTCTCGAACATCGTCCACTGGTCAAAAGTTTTCGCGGCGTTGATTACCTAATAAATTGTCGAGAAAGTTATTGTACGGACATATTGTTGTTTAAGTTGCAACCGAACTTCGATGTCTGAATGCCCTGATGTGGGTTTGGTCAACTTCGGTTACTAGTAGCCTCGAACTGGCAACTGATATTGTTATGAGGTAATATCCTGTTACTGCTTACATCTGTATTTAGTTAACTTTAGCTTTGTTGATAACTTTTATTGTTAGTCGCATACAAGTGATGATTGAAAATATATACATTTTCAATGGGTTGAAAATTAAATATTTTCCCCTACCCATTGAAAATGAATATATTTTCAATCATCACTTGTATGCGACTAACAATAAAAGTTATCAGCAAAGCTAAAGTGTTTAGCACTGGTACATGCTGGTGCCGCAGTCTGTGTGCCGATGCTCGTTACTTGAAATTGTTTTTAGCCTTTTTATTTTATTAATATCGGCTAACAAAACAATACGGATCATTCATGAATTTATTTTAGCCTTCTAAAGTCTAGCGTGCCCGTGTCAAATTAACATGCAAATTGTGAATAAATCCATTATTGTGAGCACCAGGTATCCATCTGCCTTTCCCTTCCTAGTCACTTCATGGATATCTACGGGATTACTAGAAAATATTTAGTATCGTGTATTGTTTTTTAGGGAAATAGATTAATCATGGATAACGCATTAATAATGTGATAACGTTATAGTTGTGAGACGAGCTTCGTTAAAACTCTAGTATTTTGAGGGGGCTGAAGGTTTCACGCTGAAACTGGCTTCCTTGATGGCTGTCAACTCCGGCACGGTCTTCGTCTTGGTAGTTCCAAGTGTTGGAGTGTGGTGTAGCCACTGGATGGAGATTGTGCTTGTGTGTGTGCGTCTTTTTATTACCTATCGCACCTTCATATATTATATGCTTATGTTGTGCATAAGAGGCTGCTGTTGCTGCTGTACATTATACTATCATACGCTGTGTAATACAACAGCGCGTATATATCGGTGTGCGCTGGGAACGTGTGTCTCGCAAATATTGTAAATAATGTTGCATGATGACTGCTGTCACTGCTTCACGGGCGTCATCTTGTTTTACGATGAATTTTCCTGTCGTGTTTTCACTCTCGGGTTCTGGTTTGAAGCGTTGTAACCACGTGAGTGTATAAATTTTCCTTTTATTTCCTTTTTAGCCATGCCATATTTCTAAATTTTTTTCATTCTTTCTCATCCATTTATTTCTATTCCTCTATTCCGCTGCTTGCTTTGCAAGCGCACATCTGCTTGTGCGAATGCCAGGCGCTATTAAAGGGTGTAGTCTGTGACCGTTTCCAAAAGCTAACTTGCTTTGAAAGCCCTTTACTATAATTTTTACGATATTGTTTGTTTTCAATTTAAACTGACATGAAATTTTTTTGCAGGGGCACAGAAGTAGACCTTCCTCTTCCCCCAGACGAAAAGAAAAAGATAAAAATGCCCAAGAAACACTTCGTCTTCTCGGCAGAGTCAAAGTGAGCCTTCGTGATATGTTGTTTAATTCTAAAATTTTTATATATTTTTTAGCATATTACTTTGTTCTACAGTAGTATTGCCTATTTCGAGTGCTCCTCGAGGTTGACCTCGGCCTACACGTGCGTAGTATAGATAGGACGACAACCGTCTCATCATCTACGAGAAGTATGGACCTGGCCAGCCTTGTGAAGGAAGGTTGTCGGGGCCATGATTGTTCTACCGATACCTTCATTTTCTTTGTTGTATCAATCCCGCTAAGGTTGATTGCCGGAGCAGCAGCTCGTATTTTGTAAATTAAATTGATATCTTGTGTCACTCTTAATCAAATCCGGGTGCTGGAAATTCCGTGTTCCTCCGCTGGCTTATTGCCTGTGCTTTGTGTTGTTGCTATACGGTTATTACGGTATGAAGCAACATCAAAGTGTTCCATGTGTTGCTGCATCATGCTGATGTTAAATGTGTTTGAGCAACATCAAAGTTTTCCGTGTGCTGATGCGTTATACTGAAGATAAATGTTTTAGATCAACATCAAAGTGTTACGTTACGTATGTTTGCATAGCGCTGAGCTGCTGGCTGCGGTAGAGGCGCGTGTGGCGGCGTGGGAGACGCTGCCCCGCAAGACGGCCGAGACGGCGCAGGAGTTCCTGGTGAGCTTCCTGGAGGGCGACGTGCGCACTCTGTGGCCACGAGGCTGGGTCACCACGCGCCAACTGTACAGGCAGAGCGCGCCTGCACATGCCAGCATCACGTGAGTCTTGCACCAGCGAGTGGCCTCCACTCTGCACACCACTCCACTCTAAACCCTCAAAAATCTCGTTCTTTCTATGATTTAATTTACTTTTAATTGATTCAGTAGGGTTGTTGATAAGAAAGAATGAATGATGCAACTTATAACTTGTGGCTTTCAATCTCTCAATGCCTGAAAAGTGAAAGTAGATCAATATGTTCCAGGCCATGAATGCACGATAACTAACTATCTAATTATTTCTTGCAACTGGCATATTTAGTTAAATCTTTTTTTTTTTCAAAAGACACGGTGCTGATTACTGTTCAAAGCCTTCGAAGAAATCAGTGGCTGCTTCTGCTCAATCTTCAGTAGTCGTTAGCTCTGAAGTCAAAGTTTCCTCTTCGACTGCTCCAAAAGATGGCCTGGTGTCCGCCTCTTCAGATACAGACCACAAGAATGCTTATGGTCGTAGCCATGATACGCCGCATGCCGCTGCTCCATCACTCAGTGCAGAGGTGAACGCGCCACTCAGCCGAACATCCACAGCTTTGCCTGCCTCTCAATCTAGTCTCGTCACTGAGGCCAGTCATAGCAAGCCTTCATTGAGTAACTCCAATGTGGCTCCTGATGCAAGTATTGCAAGTACGAAGACTAGCAGTGGGAAGACTGCGGCACCAATTAACGATCCGTTGCATCTTAAATCTCAAGACTCTTCATCTACTTCCCGTTCAAAAGAAGTTGTAATTTCGTCGGCATCTAATAAATCTAGCGATTCTAAATTGCCAATAGAAGGAAAAAATCCAGCGTTTTGTGAGCGTCAAAGCGACGGGCATGGCTCAGATCGCTCGCATCATGTCACAACTTCGTTGTCTTCCTATTCCTCGTCGGTGAACAATAGTACTGCTTCATTTTCAACTGCTTCTGCTAATCTGACTGGCAAGCCTGCGTCTGTTCCATCGTCCATGAACTCAGATGATAATGCCAAACTTGGTGTTAGATTCTCATCAGGTTCTGGTGCAAAGTCGTCTGTAAAGCCTTCAATAGAATCTTTACCTACTTTTAGTAATACCAACGCTTTAACCGGCCAAAAATCCAATCATAATGTGCACACTCAAGAGAAAGGTCACGGGGTAACCGTCAAAAATGTTGCAGCAATTAACAGGATCGACGGACTCGAACCATCGTTTGAGCGCCCACAAACTCTAGTTCCTGGTACGATTTACAGAAGTTCTCTCGGAGACACGACCCGCGCAACAGAACAGATCATTGACTTGTCTAGTGACGATGAAAAACCCGAAAACTTTTCGTCGAAATCTAAAAATGTTCAAAATGTTCCTGCCGAACTCCCAAGTGCCTCGACTGAGCTGACCAAATCCCCGACGAAAAACATGTCTGCCGCAACTCTGCCATCTGTTGCCGCAACTGTTCACCATGTGGCTCCTAATATTGTTTCTTCTAGCTCTTCAATTGCATTTTCCGGTGCTCCTGCTGCCCACAACTCAATGCCCACCATCCACCCAAAAGTTCACACTAGCCCTCCAACAAAGTCTTCTGTTGCAGCCATGAGACCATCCTGCTCTCCTCAAGGTCTCTCCACAAGCGCTCGTAACTCTTCGCAGACGAATAATTCTAGTGTCACCAGCAAATTATCTAATGTATCATCTGATCCCACGACCAGTAACACCACGAATCCTCCAATTAAAGTCCTGCAGGATGAACTGATTGACTCTGGCAACATCGGTAAGCCATCACGATTAGAAGAAGAGATCGATGACGTCATGAATGAGTTGCTGCTCATATCGAAGCAGAAGCAGCAAAGAGACTCTCCTCCTAGAGGGTCAACCTGTACTGCGCCGCCCCAGCACGCGCAAGGTAACTTTCCATCGCACTTATGAACTCTCTTATCCTCTCAGTCATCATCTTATTCATGACCCCACTCATAACCTCGCTCACCACCTTATTCATGACCTGGCTCATGACGTCGCACATCACCTCACTCGAGACCTCGCACATCACCTCACTGGAGACCTCGCACATCACCTCACTCGAGACCTCGCACATCACCTCACTCGAGACCTCGCACATCACCTCACTCGAGACCTCGCACATCACCTCGCACATCACCTCACTCGAGACCTCGCACATCACCACACTGTTTACCCCCTCGCTGTTAACATTTCTGTCCACCTCGCTCTGAACCTCGTTACTGACATCGCACTTCATGCCACTCTTCACTTCTTTCATACCAATTTCAACAAGTTTGATAGTTGGTCAATTTTACCAGCAAAATGAGTTTCGCATGACTAGAAATTTTGCTTTCATCATGCATGGTATTTCATTTGCTTTTAAATGCTTCCACTTTACTTTCAAGATTCTGAGTCTCCTTTTATATCAAGACATTTTGTAAGTTATGTCAGAAAGGATGCTGCTAATTGTCAAGAAGCCTACTAAAAATATTTCCTTCAGATACAAATATGTATTTCCACGTATGCCATAATTGTTCTTAATTCTAACTTCTAGTTACCTGGTTTGTGCAGTTCCTGAAAAATCTGGTTCGCTCATCAGCGAGGGAGATAAATTTATTCAATCAAATACGAAGAAGCTTTCCTCTCAGCATGTCGAAAAGGATCAACGAATTAGGGCACAATCGAAGACAAGTGAGATGATGAAGACTTCAATATCATATGAACCGCATTCATCAGCAACAGCTTACCCCATAACTAACACAAGCTCGACATCTGTTGCTCCAATGGCAGCTGCTTCGGCTAACAAGGTGACCGTTGAATCTGCTCAGGACATTGCTTACGACAGAAGTAACTTTGCCATATCAGGCACGCAGTCTCTCAAACCTTCAACAAGCCCTTCAAGGAAAGACAACTCTCCCAGGAAATCACAGTCCTCTAGCAAACCTTCATTTACTGCACCTCATGTTACGAGCTCAAGGGAAACGCATTCTAATAGCACGCATGATTTCCGATCTTTTCCTGGCGTTCAGGCTCCTCCCAGCACTCAGTTCGACTTATCCGGTGCTCAGTCAATGTCTGATTTCTACTCATTGCAGCACATTAAATCTGACAAACTTTCAAGTTCCAATAACGGTACAGAACGCAAGTCATCATCTCATTACCACGAACCTCGAATGCAGTCCTCGAGCATCCAACGGCTAGGCCCCGGCACCATTTTCAGTTCAGTTGGCGATCTTGTTACAGTTCCACGCTCTGCAAGTGACTCTGATACGTCGTCTCTTGGTGACAGTCCCTCTTCTGATAAATTTACATTTTCGAGCCGCCAGCCCCCTTCGGATCTGACTGTTTCTCACTCCAATATCCAAGCGTCGCCTACTCGGGCACCCAAGCACCCGTACTCCATAGCAACGCTCGCCACTTCCTCCTCTCCAGCGACTTCTGCGCACAGTTCGCGGCGAGAATCTAACTCGATAAACAACTCACCCGGGAATTCGCATGCGATTATTTCAAGCCAACATTCGATGCACGGTGCTATGAAAGACTCGAACAGCGCGGCGTACGCTTCCTCTTCCTCACGAGCAAACGTAACTCATGCAAGGGATCTCTCAAGTTCCTCCAGCTACAGTTCCTATGGGCAGCAATATCAGAAGGGTGACAGCTATGCCAAGAACGGGGTCAGTACCTCAGCTGCTAAAGACTACTCGTACGACAAACATCGCTCAAATGCTCCTACGTCAACTAACTCTGAGTGAGTCTCATCATCTTTTTTTGTAATATGCTGTATTCTTTTGTTGCACTCGCAGATTCATAATTGAAAGTAACAGTCTGCTGACGATTTAGTAAAAGTTTTCCGCTAAAGCATTAATTGAACTCGGACAACCAGTCTATGCTGATCCACAAGCTCAATATCCGATGTTATCTGGAGTTCTGTGTTGCTATTGTCATTGCATATTTATATTGTATTCCTACTTATAATGTGTTATTTTGCACTCTCCACAGTGGCGACAGCAGCTATGGCTTAATGGCCTTGCAGCAGCAACAAGAAATGCTGCTACATTCGCGTCAGCTGCAGCAGCAGCAGCAGCAAGATATGTGGTCGCTAACGTCTCAGCAGCTTCATCAAAGTCAAAACAAAGTCAGTAGAATTACAAGAACCCTATTTATATAGCATTTTTCTATTCCTTATCTTACAAACACCCAACATTTAATCACAGATGATTACGTGTTTATTTTAAGGTCTTATTTCGTATATTCAGCTAATAATCGACATTACTTCAACGCCGTGTGCCATCTGAAAATGTATTGACTAGGCTTTAAAACGAATATTCTACTGGCGTGGTAAGGGTGTGATTTGCATGAACGCCTTCAGTCGCGCTGGGCTGTACAATGTCCATGAGAGCTCAACTCTTGCGCAGCCACCACTGGCACAAAGTACGGTATCTCAAATAATCTACAGGAATCTTATTAACTATCTCGTCTTATTGCTTGCAATGCGTTGATTTGGTTAATCACTTGAGAAAATTTCACTTATCTACGAATTCTCTTTTGATGATATTTACTTGTGATCCTTTTTGAAAATCCTAGAAATGCTGCATGAAACTCAATTTTCCTGAAACTCGTCTTTGAATGGGATAGATATAAAATTTCTCTTCTAAATTGCTAATGTTTTCTGTTATACATTGCGAATGTTTTCTCCCGCTATCGTTACCACGCTGGACACAGACTCAACGGCTAAATTTTGTTCCCGTTTTAACTCGAACGAAGCCTTTCTTCAGAGAATTTCGTTGATGCCTCCTCTGTTCAGTCGCCTTGTGGCGGATTGGCCTCATTACATTTCCTGTTTGACTTCATTTAGTGGAGGACCTACACGTCTTCTGCATAAGCAAGTTACCCTCATGGCTGTATCAGCCTAATTCTCGTGAATGGGCGATGCCAATATTGCTTTCAGGTGACCTTTCATATCGCCGATTTCCGGTTTTTCTATCCAGAAGTAATTTATCGTTATAATGCGTTGCTTGATCATGGTGCCTCGATTGAGTATGTACTACGTTCAGCTTCAGATTCAACATCATCACTATTTAATTACACCGAAATTTCATGCGTTTCCAGACATTAATACCATTTGGGCCAAGAACAGTCGGACAAAGTAAAGAAGCTCTTGCACTAGTATATAAAAAATGCATATGTTCAGTCTTGTTATTTGGCAGTCCTGCTTGAGATTGCCCACTCTCAACAATCATACCACACAAAGCACTGCATCCGTGCTACTCAACCGCCCTCAGCATCACATCTGAAACCTCTCATTGACACGTAGACAAATCTTTAAAGGTGCCCCTGAAAGATCAAGCGGCTTGATCAAAAGCTCCAATCAACTGATTTGAAGGCGCGCTTCAATCAACCTTTTTCACGTTCACTCTCTTTGATCAAAACCTTCCCTCTCATCACTTGCCGCTCGTCGCTTGTTGTTGTTCTTTGAGCTGTTGTGTTGACTTATATGGTGAGCAATACGGATTTGGCCTTCCTCTCCTTAACATTGGTTGCTCTTGAGCTGAAAAACGAACAGAAAACGGCGGTGGTGCATGGAGTGATACAAACTGAGAAACACATTTTATCATCAACATTTATTGCATTTTTTGCGGGATCCCTAACGACAAGACTACAGGAACTTTTTAAGGATGTACGAAGAGAGTTTGGATTATCTGCTGGAATTTGTACGGCCCGGTTTTGAGAAGGATAGAAATATGCGCGAAACGATTATTGCAAGAGACTATCACGCTGAAATACCTAGCATCTAGCACCGATTTAGAAGATCTCATATGCACTATCGCTCCTCAGACTCTTGACCCTATGGTGTTGGTGTTATTTAATTGTCATGAGAAGAAATTTTACTTTTACTAAATTTTATATGCATATCACTCGCAGCTGGGACCAGCTTACATCTCCGGAGCGCCACTGGACCTGTACTCAGCGACCCGCCTCGCACCGACGCAGCATCGCTCCTCAGCTACGGGCGCTGTCCCTTCTCACTTGCAGGTGTGTCTCTTATTTCTTTACATACACATCCCTGAGTATTGTATTTCAATAGCCATTATCAGAACAATCAACGCTTGAACTTAACTGCTGATGGGCTCACAAGTTAATTATATTACAGACAACGTACCGCAAGAGTCACGGCACCAGCACCAGCAGCTCCAAGCCGCGACAGAAGAGGTAGACTCCACCCTCACAAAATGTTTGGACTCGTTTTACGTTGTTAAGCTGCTGTGATAGTCATAATCTGCTGCCAATTTCCTACATCTAGATATTTTTTCTGCGCGGTCAATTGTTTCACAGCACTTAGTTTGCTGTACTAACAATTTAACGAACGCTGTTTATTTTATCGAATTTCGAGTCGCGTTCGTTTCTATGCAAAAAATGGTAATTGTCAGCGTTTAACAAAATTGTTCTGTATGGTAATATCTAAACGCTGCCTTTTTTTTTGAAGAACTTGATCAAATTCTTTCATCGGATGTATGTTGTGATGGCTTTTGCCTAATTTTCTTTGTATTTTATATTTAATTTTTTTGCAAGTGATTCTTCTCAATAAAATATGAATTTCAACTCTTCCTGGATTTTGCCTAAATTATAGTGATACTTGCAGGTTAAGCTAAGCGTTGCCCGCGCATGATAGTTTCTGCAATTTCAGGATCTTGTCATCTCGAATCCCTACAAGAATAATAAAGTCACTTTATGCTTATCAAGTAAGGACCTTTTCAAACCCCAGTTTTACAGAGCTAATAGAATTTACATTGAACTTTAGTTTCAAAATAAGAAAAGCTATTTTTCTTCGTTCCTAATTATGTCTATACACACCAATTTGAAAATTAGGTTTAAATTTTGAATGCATTTTTTTTATTCTCCTTTTAGCATGCTTTTCTATCCTCTTCTTGGAATAAATTTTCAGGTGCCGGTAATATCCCGACACTATGAGTATCGTGGATTCGCTCTCAAACAACTCTACATATTTAGTGACAGGCTTCAAACACCCACACAAACTTGAACAAATGTGGAAAAGATTTAAAGTTTCGATAAATAATTTACCATCATTCCTACCTCAACGGTCAGCATCATTGACCTCAACGGTCAAGGATGTGCAAATTATTTCAAATCTCGCTGATGCGCGTACTGAATGTCAATTCAAGGCTTTGTATTAGCTTAAGTTGGGCAGGAATAAACGCAATTTAGGGAAACTACGAAATCAATGGTTACTACATATTTACACCAGAGTAACATTTATTTTGTAGTTTTCCTATATTGTGTTAATTCTGGCCCAGCTTAAGCTAATGCAAAGCCTTGAATTGAAATTCAGTACGCGCATTAGCGAGATGTGAAATAGATTCGTAGTTCGTCTTTCAACACATCCTCGACCATGGCGGCTACTGATCGTTTACGACACTTGACTGCCAGAAATATATCTCCTAGGCGGGATTCCCTGAAATTATAATTCAGTGCGTAGGTTCTATCAGAATTCAAGTGTAACTCATCCATTCGACAACACTTTCTCGCTTCGAGTCACCGACATGTGGAACAGCCTTCCTGAGGATATCAACGCTCCGAGTATGAAAGAGTTCAAGAACAAACTAGACGAAGCTGTGCAAGAGCATATGTTTCGTCTTGAAATGCCTAGTACCCCAACGGAAGAACTGGAAAACTAGAAACCATTTCAAACATACCGTCCGTTGAAAATATTTCATCAAAAGAACTGTTTTTTTTTTATCTGAACCAGTGGGAGCGCAGCCGTGCACCACCAATTTTGTGCACCAATAAGCCCTGAATCGAACGCCTTGCATCTCTCCGGACCTACACCAATCAGCCGTGCACCACTCGGCATTGTCCTCCTCCGGCCTTGACCACCACCAGCCGTGCACCACCAGGCCGCGGATCGAATATGACTTCTGGGCATCGTTAAATTACGTAATTTTACGTTCACCGCATCTGAGGTTAGGTTTCAGATAGCATAGTTCTGTTCCAAAATTTATCGTCCTTCGACAAGTGGCCGTTCGACCGAGGGCTGGTTCGACCCACGGCCTAGATACGGACGGCTTGAAGTATTGAAGGCTACGTTCCGGAAGGCAGGAATCATGATGGTCCATTACATCCAGGGCAGTGGTGGTCTTCGGCAGGCGACCCAACCAGTCACGAAAGGTGCAAGACTTGGCGACAGGCCTATTCTTCTACGCCGAAGATACTTTACTACTATAATTATTTAATTAAGTAAAGGTTTGGTTACTTAGATGAAAAAGATTTTTTGAAATAGGAACATAAGTGAATGAAACGGGAAAAAAAAATTATATTAAAAAAACTACATACGCGACACTTGCACTAACATTATTGGAATTATTAGGACTCCTGTGCGCAGGGCCCTTGCTTCTGCTGCATCAATTGAATATCAGCGGTCAATATCAGTAAATTCGTACCTCCGCAGCTTGGTTCACTCAGCGGTGAAATTTTACAATAACTTCTACTGTGAAGAACGCTTAAAAATAAGTCAGCGAGTAAAAACATTGACACACGCTACCAGGAAATAAAAAAAAAAAACTAGTCATTTCCTGAAGCCACCTGAGCGACTTGCTTGTGAACAAGCATTAGAAAGATTTGACGCGTTAATCCAATCAGAAGAGCGATAATTCAAAAACTTTGAAATGACAAAGTTTTTAAAATAGACGAAATTTAAAGATATACGATTTACGAAAGTCTAGGAGAAATAAATATACTATGAGTAATTAACTTGAGGTGAGGCAAAATCTACGAGTACTTGTTATGTTCCAATGCGAAGAAGATATGATACAAATTGAATACAAATTAAGTTTGATCTATCAGACATTAGATAACTGACACTGCCATCAGACACAAGCGCTGGAAGCCAAGCGCGAAACCTATAAAACTTGAAGCGAAGTGCCGCTAGAGTGTAAACAGTTGTAGATACTGACATCTCAAGAGGAAACCCAGGAAAATAGCACTCATTCACAAGGGGCCTAAAACAACATAACTAATAAAGCCTATTTTTGCAGGGATTTAGTCGCAACTTTAAACCGTTTTCATCTCTTTGAACTTCTCTCCTAATATTCTCATAACATCAGCATGTTTTAGGTCCTGAGAATTCTTCTTAACGCTGCCGTAATTTTCCTTGACGAAAATAGCAAAAGGCCCGGGCGTTCTGGGCGTCCTGAGCGCGGCTGGCTGGCTCCCCGTGGTCGCAGACGTCGGCTTCCTGGCGGACGTAGCGAGCAACTCGAAGCGTCCAAGGCAACGGCCGCACACTTTACGTTCCGTGTCAAGACTCTTCGAATGCCGTCCAATACTGAAACAAAAAAAAATTCGTCACGATACTATGGGATATGTGTACGATATTATAATCTCATGATTTAGTTCATTTTGAGGCAGATTGTGAGAATTTTTCATGAAGAGGCGCAAAGCCTATAGGTTGGACACAATTAGGGGAAACTCAAGGAGTGCTGTCATTGTTATGAAATAAGATTTGTATACATTTACATTTGATAAGCTATGATATAAAATTGGAGCAAACAATTCAACGATCTTAAATTTGAAATATTTAGTTTCGCATCTCAATCCATTCCACCCATCAGCCTGTCTCAGGGCTAAGGAAATCAATTTAGTCTCAGTTCACCATCACCAGTGTGTGTTTCCATTGATACATTTTAACTGCAACTTGATTACACAACCTGGCATTTGAATACGGGACACACACAATTATGTATAACCCAGACAGAGTGAATGCGTGATGCATTAGCAAGAGTTTCTTAAATTTATCGTGAGCATTGCGATTGCGGACACAAAAGCTTGATTAATTAACAAAATAGAGCCTAGGGATCTCGTCGGTCATTGTCGAGTATAAAGAAACTAACCTGTAACAACACTTGGTGCACTGATACTGGTACATAGGCACCACTAACCTGTAACCACACTTGGTGCACTGGTACTGGTACTTGCAGGCAATCTCGTAGTTGTGGCACCGAGCGATGCTTGGCAACTCGGGGAACACGCGAGTGGCTCTACTCGCCCTGCGAACGTTATGAACAAGGCAAGAAATTTGAGAATAATATTTCAGTCTAATTTCTTAATCCTTCTGTAAGCCAACTGAAGTATTGACAGCAGTGATGATTATCAGAAATTTCTCAGATATTTAGGTACAAACAAATGATATTTATCAACATACCAAGAATAATAAATCCTTATGATTAAGTTCCTAGATAGCTAAGGTGACCAGCATCACAAACACAATAACTCACCAAGCTTGCCACACGGGCCCGTGTCCACCGTGGTACCCAGACACGAGCCATGCAGCAGCATGGCAGAGCTCATGCACCAGAGTGTCTCTCAGTCTCGCCGGGCTGTCCACTACTTTAGTCGAGAGCTCAACTCTTGCGTTGCGACCGCTCGCCTTCGAGCGATCAACTTTGTAGTAACAAAAGCCAGCGGTTTTCGTCATCCTGGTATTCCAGGTGATAGCCATACTATCAGGCAATTTATTCTCGAAAATTTTGCTGTTAAACAACTTGTAAAGTCGTTCGGTCAGTTCTTGTCGGTTTTTGTTAAAATTTTTCATGTAAACAAGAGCATCTGGATGACACCTCGTAGTATTTGAGTCGGCCGATAATGATGCCAGGAATGATAACGTGTGACTTCCGTGCTCAGCGTTCGCGAATTTTTTTAGAACATGGGACTTAGGGTGCTTGGAATTCTCCTTGCTCCGGGACGGTGTTGTCGGAGTCTTGAAAGAATTATTCGGCATCGAATGCGGAAGCTTCGGAGTTATGAAAGTATTCGGTTTTGAATGCGGAGGTTTCGGAGTAGTAATGAAAGTATTCGTTTTTGAATGTGGAGGCTTCGGAGTTCTGAAAGTATTCGGTTTCTCAATGTGGTTCAATTCATTGTCGCTGTCATCAGAGTCAGACAAAACAATAACGCTAACATCCCTTGTCTTGAAGTTTCGTGCGCAAGGTGGAGTCGAAGAATCGCTGTCTGACAAATTATATATCTGTTCTGCGGGAGCTCTCCTTACTTCGATCCTTCCGGCTGGCGTTTTCGAATCGTTGGGATTGCCGCTCAAAAATTCACTGACACTCGTAGCATATTCTCTACGATTAATGAAGGGCGCACGAGTCGTAATTCGTTCACTGAGAGGAGGCAAATTATACGCAATTACGTCCCCGTCACTATCATCGTCTGTAATAAAAGCTGACAGGCTCTCGTCTGCCGCTTTATTAACCTTCTTTCGATCATTTCTCCATTTCTTCATGTACTCATTCAGCTCATCAGAATCACTCGAATCCGTTGATGATACAACTACCTTTTTCAAAGAGGCAGAGGCAGTTTTGCTCGCTATTTCGCGTTTTTCATTTTTGACCGTTTCACATTTATCCATTTCGTCATTAATCGTGTTACTTGGTCGTTCTGAACTCTCGGTTTGAACGGTTTTCTTTTTTTTCCTTCTCTCTGTGACGAAAAAATTGTGAGCTAAATTCAAATGCACATTTCTCGGGGTTTTAACGTTACTGGGCACTTTTATTTCATTCTTAGAGGAAGCAGCCATTTTGCCCGATTCAGCGATACGTCCCAGCGTAAAAGCAGTTCCATTCGAGCGGGCAGAGCCCTCTAACCTCAACTTCAACGATTCCATGTTCAAACTCTCCTCAATTAGTTTCTCAGAATCTAAAGAAGGATTCACATTTGTGGCGGGCTTGGTTGCTGGATCATCAGCAGACGTTTTTTCGTCGTCTTCGTCAGAGGATCTGTTATTAAATTCAACAACTTTTTTCGTTTTTTCAGTGAACAATTCAACACGGGAATTGCTGTCATCAGCGCTGGAGCTGTTATTCAACTCGCTATCACTTTCCTCAACATAATTCGTGCCTACGCCGCTGCGCCCGGAAGGCATCACGAAGCTCGTTCCAAATGAACTATCTTTAAAGGGGCTATTCAAGACCCAATTGCACACTGAACTGGAAGGCGCTAAAGAAACAGGAATAGAGTCTACTGCATCAACTTTTTGCCCATGTGTTGCAATTTTATTCGGCACTTTAGGCTGTATCAAAGCATTAGCAGCAAGATTTTTTCGTGCGGTAGAGACTGCAGGCGAAGTGAGCTTGCCAGCCGCATCCTGAAGAGGTGTTCTGTGTGAACTTCCAATATGAACTCCTTTAGAACACACGTGCAATGGAGTGCTAGGGCCAGGTTTAGACAAAAAAATTTCATGAGGCAGCTTAGTTTTATTATTAGAAGCCCCTTGATGGATGTTGCTCACTACAGGACGCGGCCAGCCAGACAATTTGGTCACAGACGACGAACTTGGACTGTTTGAAAATGGCTTTTGTTGGACAGGTAGAGCGCCCGTGGGTTTCGTTGAGTTAAACAACGCATCACACTTGTTTGCCATCATATTGCTGAAACTTTTTGCTTGCCCATGACGCTCATCAGTTAGTATTGGTATACATCTGCTGTGTTTCACTGCCTTCTCATTCTTATCGCCTTTCACTGATTTGTGGCCATGTGATACAGTCAAAGCCAGAGGTACATCTACGCTAGTTGCCGAATCTGCATCATCGCTGGTGGCAGGAACGTCGTCATCACTGGTGGCAGGAACGTCATCGTTTCTAGTGGTATGAACGTCACCATCTGTCGTAGCAGAAATTTCGTTTCCTCTAGTCTGATGAATATCATCCAGTCTCGTGAAAGCAATTTTGCTCTCTCTAGTGTCAGGAACGTTTTCATCACTCGTTGTGGAACCCGAATCCTTCCTGGCGACTGAACCATGATCCGCACTGGTGGTTAAGGCGTCATCCTTCCTATGAACAGGAACATTCCTTGCAACACGAAGCTCTGATGAAGAAGGCAATGCTTCTACATTGCTAGGAACTTCACTGGTCATGCCACTGTTTATTTTTGCAACCAGTGAGTCCTGTGCATCAATAAGTGTGAGACTCGAGATATCTGGAAATGAGAATGGAATAGCTTCACGACCTTTACCATCAACCATTGTACTGTTGAACATTACTGGAAGTATTTTGGTCACCTTTGACACTGGTACAGGATTGGTCGGCAAATTAGGAATTCTTTGAGGAGTTCCCTGACGAGGAGTCATTGAGGAAGTAGTAAACACAGCTTCTTCACTAATTTGTGGTTGAAGATCTTGTTTTTTGATGGCTGCAACCATTGCATGAAAGCCAAATCTTGCTGTTGGGCATTTGCTGGAAGTTGAATACTCAGTCTCATTTATAAAATCTGGGCAAGTGAAGTATAGATTATTCCTTAAATTAACAACAGAATCAATGTGAGGGATAATTCTACCATCAGGCACTTCACTGGTGAACTCAATGAAACTACCCTCATCAATATCAGTCATGACACTCTCTCGCTTCCTGCAATTTCTAATGTCTGCAGTTTTGTAAACATTGTGTTGACCCAAAGTTTTTATTTTATGTGTTGGGTTTTCATTTGATTTTACAGATCTCTCATGGTTAGCTTTTGCAGGTGTAGTGTCAATAGAAACATCTCTGGCATTGATAGGTGTGCTTTCACAACCAGGACTCAATGGCTTGTCATCTTTTTTCTTTGCTGATACAAGGTTACATTGATTTTCTTCCTCAAGAGCTGGCATCTTGAGGCACAAGTTCATAGAAGAGAGAGGCTTCCGAGACTCGAGAAGTTTATTCCTAATTGTGCCTGCTGCTGTAATATTTGCATGGTTGATTTTTGATGCAAATTCATTTTCTTTACCATTGGTTCTTTTTGGCAGCAATGGACCAGCAGCAATCTCTTGCATCGCAGATGGCAGCCGCAACTTTGAAGACTTTGTCTGACCTGAGGAAAAGGATGAGACATTTGCAGTTAAATGTTGATAATCAGGGAACTTAATCTAATAAAACAGATGGAAATAACCAAGTAAAAATATGCATACATATATTCACTAACACAAAAATGAAAGATGTTCAAATTATCTGACAAGTGTTTATGCTTACCATGAGGCTGATCTGTGATGTTTGTCTTTGCTTTCAGGCCCTTCATTCCAAAAGGAGTGAGAGGGAGATCCTCAAGTGCCAAAGACAGACGAGACTGGTCAGACATATTGCACTGCAGATTGTACTTTACTGACTCTGAAAGGCATTTGCAGGACCAGATAATACATACATCTTACTATTTCCCAAAATCATTTCTATAGTAGTAATCAAATTGAATAATAATAATAATTGAAAACAAAAAATATTATAGCACTTTGGATCACAAGGCAATCAATGCCTTGGGGACCCTTCATTCACAGGGTAGGTCAAGTAAAAAAAGTCTCTTATTTGCCACCATGTAAGCAGATACCAGTACTGTAATTAACTTGCCATATGCATGGAAGATATATCTACCTTCTAAAGAGCAACTCGAGCTTCCAATCATTTTTTTGGAACCACAATACTACATTCCCTTAGGTTGAATTAGCTCCCAATCTAATTGTTAATAAAAGTGCATGAGGCAGCAAGATTCCAAAGATATTGAAAATATGTTTATAAATTTTACAGCAGGAAGGTTTTAGCCATAAGTAAGAAAATTCCAATCTTGAATTGCCTCATCTCAATTCTGTCATTTAAAAACAACCCATGCCAGTTTGGGTTGCTCCACAGTCATTCAGGACCTATCACAATGACAACATAAAAAAGTGACCACCAGATATCTCCTTTATGTCAAAACCCATTTAGAGTTTTGCAATTTGTCTAAATTCTCATGCACAGTTTTAGCAATTTTTGTCAACACTGCTAGAGAAATAAACTATACCAGTTTATTCTATTTTTAAAATAAATAAACACATTTTTTTAGTTTAATATATATATTCAATATAATTTTCAACATATACGGTATATATATATACCGTAAACTGGGGTAACTTAGACCACTTTTTTTTTTTTTAAATGATGCCATTTTTTTACTAGATAAGTTAAACTTAAATTGAAACATGTAAAATACAGGTCTATACTCTAGCTTTACTCACCGTAAATTGCTGGCTCCTGCCTCTCATAGTTTTGATGTAATTTAAAAAAAAATCAATGGTCTTTTTTACCCCAGCTCTGGGGGTATCTTAGACTGTTTGGTAAAATCAATTATATTTTTTGGTAAATAACTCCAAATAACTCCGGGTTTTGGTGCATTGTAGTAGAACTCTTCTAGTTACATATGCAAATGACAAACTTGAGGAAAGTTTCATAGTTTGCAAATGGGGGGTCCTGCCCCCCAGGTGGTCTAAGTTCCCCCAAATGGGAGAACTCTGACCACCTAATGGCAGCCCTGACAGGGTTAACATAGACCGGCTTGGAAATTAAGTTAAATTACCATATATAAGACTCTGTAGAGTCTGAAACCTAAAGAAAAAACATTAATAGGTGTATCAAACATGAAATGTTATATTTGGTAATTTTAAATTAATTTCCAAGCCGGTCTATGTTACCCCGTCAGGGCTGACATTAGGTGGTCTAAGTTCCCCCATTGGGGGGTGGCGCCCCCCATTTGCAAACTATGAGACTTTCCTAAAATTTGTTTGTTGCATATGTAACTAGAAGAGTTGTACTACAATTGTCTCTTATACACATCTAGATGTGTATAAGAGACAGCTTCCGCAGCGCGGGAAAATAACATTCTAATCCGCGATCACTATGTAACGGCTAATTGCACGTCTAAATGCGTACCACGCACAGTCACGCACTGGCATACATCTGTCTCTTATACACATCTAGATGTGTATAAGAGACAGGAGCTGGGGTAACAAAGACCATCACTTTTTTTTAAATTACATCAAAACTATGAGAGGCAGGAGCCAGCAATTTATGGTGAGTAAAGCTAGAGTATAGACCTGTATTTTACATGTTTCAATTTAAGTTTAACTTATCTAGTAAAAAAATGGCATCATTTTGATAAAAAGTTACCCCATTTTACAGTAATATACATATATATATATATATAGTAATTTTTAAAATAAATAAACTTCACCATTTTAGTATTTTATTTTTTTGCAACTACATAATGTTAGCCCCTCCTAAATTTTATGTTTAGCAATAATTCCAACTTTGGTGTTAATTTAACAAGTTAATTCAACGCATGTTTCTTCAACAACATGTATTTTTTCCTTGTTACGAAAAATAATCAATATGAGCTTGACAATTTTTGAACATAACAAATACCATACCGTCATTGACAAAGTCCAAAGTGGAAAAAGTCAAATTTTCTAAATTTGAGGAAAAAACAAAAAACTTTTTAGAGGCCGGCACTATGGTGCTGGTCAGGCATAAGATGTATCTATGTTATGAGATGCCACTAGAGCTTTCTCACAATTTTTGGAACCAACATTCGAGCTGGATGAATTACCTCCTATTCAACTCTTAATGAAAGTGCACAATCAAGCCACCTCAAACACAGGATGATGCTGTTCTCCATGGATTAATCCAGCATAAATGAGGCTTTAAGCCTAAGCACTTGCATATACCCTGGACTACAAGGAGCTGCTATATATAACCATGTGCCTGGTGAAGCGCCAGCCCAGGCTGCCACCTGACGTTTGTCTGGATCCAGCGCCTTGCAACAGTCTAAACATAACTTACATTCCCTGCTCAGGGTGAACAATCTAACCCTAGGAGCAATCACAACTCAACCTAGGAACAATCAGGCTTCTACTGTGTTCTAATGCAATCTAGTTCATTCGAGTGTTCTAGTGTGATATACCGCCAAACAGGATATTAAGGAAGGGGCAGGGTAATAAGGGACAGTCCTCCGACATTTTGTGGAGATGTTGTACCAACTTAACTGATTGAAATTTTGAAAAACTAAAAATAGTGGCGTAAATTTCAACATTTTTCATATCTATGTAGCATAAAGTAAGTAAAGAAATCATACATTTACAACCTCTAAAAAATCTCTTGAAAAAAGTGTGAAAAGTGAGATTTTGGAAAAGTACCTCTGCCAAGGTCAGTGGCAAAAAAATATATATATATTCATTGTATTAAAAAATTGTACTTACATAAAAGTTGCACACAGGTGTTGGCTTCAAAATGTGATTGACAGAATTAGCATATCTCATTAAAAAAATGACATCCATTTCCGCATAATAGGTAATAAGGGACACCCCTCCGGGGTAATAAAGGACACCCCTAAAAATGCATTTACAGTTGAACCTCTGTTAGCAAAAGCTCCAGTTAACAAAAAAATCAATTAACAACAGAGAAATTTGATCACATTTTGATTGCAGTAAATTTTGATAGCAGGGAAAAAAAATTTCACTTAAGGTAAGTCTCGCCTAAAATTTTCAATTTTGGCGTTTTCCGGTTTTTGTGCTCATCTGAAAGCTGGAATTCTGCTCTTTCCAATGGTACCACTGCCATCGCTGTACGCCAATATTTACGTTCGTGATGTCGCTTTAAAGGGAAGCGGGTGGGAGAGTTCTTCAACTAATTAGATATAAAGTAAATAGCTGCTGAAATCTTTGAATATAGTTTCTACTTGAGTTGTGCTGCAGTTACATGCTTAGTCTCATCTTAAAGCTGACATTCTAGGCTTTTCAATGATACCACTGCGATCCTTGTACGTCAATATTGACGCACATGGCCGGGCTTTAAATGGGGGCGGGGGGTGGAGTTCCTTCACTAAATAGACCTAAAAAAATTAGAATGGCAAGACTACATATATTGGTGTATCTGGCATCTGAGCTCAGTTACCCTCCTAACTTTGTACGTAGAGGTGCGCTACAAGTTGCTGCTAGCATCCTTGAGTGGATTAAGCTACAGAAGATTGTAGTTTGGTATCCATGCTACATTGAGTGCCTATTTCAAGGCGCACGAAACTTTGTCGCGCCGTCCTGAAAAGTTCAACTTATTGTCACGGAAAACCTATCTCCTCCTACAGTTTTCAAGCTACAGCAATGGGAGATATATCATTCAATTTGTAAGGAATAGCTCTACAAACTGCGTGTATAGTTTTTCCGATTTCATTATAGTTTGGATTATATATTGGAAAAAGGGGGAGAGGGGAGAATTTTTGTTTTTTTTTCTTTAAATCCCCCTCCATCAGGAACAAATTCAAGATTGAAAAAACTGGACACATGAACGCTAGAAATGGTCTTTACGGATCGAATGACATGTGTCTCGACCTTGCAGCATATATACTGTAGGAGGAGCTAGATTTCTAAAGTACCCCTTTATTTCTTTGTTTTCTATTAATTTCACATTTTCTTTTGTTTTTTTTTTTCGAAAAATTCACACGAACAAAAACAATTTTGTTTTACATTTTACATATGTGTACCGAATTTCAGAATGATCCGCCCAAAGGTATACAATTTATTATTTGCGCGAGACGGTCCCCTTAACAAAAAATTAATGCAACATTGGTCATCACAAAATTGTGCATAGTATGTCATAGATAGAACTGTGAGCTGTGGTGGCGCAGTGGTGAGAGACTCTGTCTCTCGCACCCAGCGCCCAGGTTTGAGTCCCACTGAGGACAAGTTCTACCAGGAAGCTCAGCTCATGGTCAACTCAGCCATTCATCCAACTCTGGTTGATAAATGAGTACCTGGCTTGTCCAGGGTGTTGTGTAATGCAATCAAATGGCTCTGGCAGGTCAGCAAGCCAGTGATGGTCGCAGAACTAGCAGTGGTACCGAGTGCCCGGAAAAACTGACCTATCACCCCCCCTCCCTAGTTGCCACAGCCAGGATGGTTTATTACTACAACATAGATAGAATTGTGCACCTAGCAACATAAAATCAAAAGTAATCAACCTAAACCATGATTTATTTCTCCAAAAATATGATGGTTATCACTAAAATATTCCTTTTTGTTTCAGGTTACATTTTTTATGATCTTTTTTGTTATAGTGAATTCACTTAATCCATTTAAAATGGTGCAAAATTACAAGCCATCCTGTAAGCTTACCTACAGAAGAAATGCAGATATGAAGGTAAAAAATGAAAAAAAAATCATATGAAATGCAGATATGAAGCTAAAAGCTTGCAGTAGACAAGGTTGTTGTCAATGCTCAATGGCATGTCCATGGATTAGGTTATTTAGGTAATATCACATCAATAATATGGTAATGTAGGGATGAGGTAATATCATATCAATAAAGGAAAAACCAAGAAAAAATCACAGAAAATGTCATTTATTCT